TAGTTGAGGACTTGCTTACAGTTTCAGAAGTTTTGGCAGGCATGAGAGCTACATCCTGATCCACAGGCAGAGAGAGAGAGAGAGAGAGAGAGAGAGAGAGAGAGAGAGAGAGAGAGAGAATATGAATGAATGACTGAACCTGGCATCGGAATATATGAGCCTATTGGGGCCGTTCTTATTTGAGCCACCACAGTACAAATGGACTAAGATGGGGCAGTGTTAGAGGATGGACACATTGGGACTATAGTTCAGAGAGTTCCTAGGGCTCCTTGCCAGGCTTCCCTTATTAGTAACATCTTACATTAATATGCATTCATTACAATGGACAAACTAACACACTATTATTAATTAAAACCTAGACTTTGTTCAGATTTCCTTACTTCTCCCATAATGTTCTTTCTCTGTACCATGATTTCATCTAAGTCATCACATTTCTTTTAGGCTCTCTTACTTGTTAAGAGTTTCCAAGATTGCCTTATTTTTGGTGACGTTGGCAGTTTGGGGGTTCTGAGCACACGTCTTTAGTTTTGGTTAGCCCTCCCCCCTGCCCATTCTTGTTTACACACCTAGATCTCTCCTCTCCTTCCACATTGCACACATTCCCATCCCTTTCTGTCTTGCCCCAGCTCCCTGTGGCTTTTTTTTAGTTCTGCTCACTGCTCTACAGGTACTCACTCCAATTTAAAACACAGAAGTCTAAAAATTCAAGAGGATTTGCACACAAGACAGCAAAGTGTGCTGTTTGTCTTTCTGAGCCTGGGTTAATCTCACTCAGTATAACCTTTCCCTGCTATATCCGTTTTTCTGAAAATTTCATCACTTTTAGTGCTTAATAAAATTCTATTGTGGCCGGGCGGTGGTGGCGCACGCCTTTAATCCCAGCACTCGGGAGGCAGAGGCAGGCGGATCTCTGTGAGTTCGAGGCCAGCCTGGTCTACAGAGCGAGATCCAGGAAAGGCGGAAAGCTACACAGAGAAACCCTGTCTCGAAAAACCAAAAAAAAAAAAAAAAAAAAAAAAAAAAAAAAAAAAAAAAAAAAAAAAAAATTCTATTGTGAATATGAACCGTATTTTCACTATCCACTTATCAGTCAAAAGACATCCAGGATGGTTCCATTTTCTGGCTACTGTGAACAGCTGTGCAGGTATCTTTGTCTTAGGCTGCAGAGTTCTTTGTGGATGTGTTAATACTATTTCAGTTTCCTGAAAACATCTACACTGATTTCTGTAGTGGTGATACTTTACACCCTACCAGTGAACAGGGATTCCCTTTACTCACGTCTTTGCCAGAATTTCTTACCATTTCGATAGTATCACATCTATCATTCTTGATAGTAGTTATCCTAACTAGGTTGGATGGAATATCAAAGTAGTATAGTTTACATTTCCCTGATGGATAATGATGTTAAATACTTTTAAAAAGTTGTGTGGGTTTATATCTGGGTCCTCTGTTTTCTTCCACTAATCTACATATCTATTTGTGTGTATGTGTTTGCCCACCACCATGCTATTTTTATTGCGATGGCTCTATGATTTAACTTGAAATCAGGTGTGGTGGTTTGGATGGGAACAGCTCCCATAAGCTCGTGTATGAACACTTGGTTCCCGGTGGAACTGTTTGGGAAGGGTTAGGAGAGGTGGCCTTGTTGGAGTGGGTGTGGTCTGATTGAAGGAAGTATGCCACTGGGAGTTTCAGTAGATATCATTCCCAGTCAGCCCTCTGCCTCATGGTTGTGTCTCAAGATGTGAGCTCTCAGCTGCTTCTCCAGTGCCATGCCAGCCTGCCTGCTGCCATGGCCACCACCATGATGGTCATGGATGCTAATGATCTGAAACTGTAAGTCCTAAATTAAATGCTTTCTTTTATAAAGTTGTCTTGGCCATGGTGTTTTTATCATGGCAGTAGAAAAGTAAGACAGAAGGTCTTTTAAAGATTCCTCTTAAAAAATTCCTTGTCTTCATCATGGTTGCTTTGGCTATCTGGGATCTTTGGTGAATCCAAATTATTTTTAAGATTTTATTTTTTTTCTGTGAAGAACAACACTGGAATTTTAATTGCCAATGCATTAAATTTGAAAATTTCTTTTTGATAAGATTACCATTTTCACAATATTAATTCTTTTGATCCATGAGAATGGGAGGTCTTTCCATTTTCTAGTGTCTTCCTCAATTTCTTTTTTCATGAACTTAAAGTTTGTAGAGGTCTTTCATTTCTGTGGTGGTTAGGTTTATTCCAAGGTATTTTTTTACATTTAGTTTATTTATTTATTTATTTATTTATTTATTTATTTATTTATTTATTTATTTTGGTTTTTCGAGACAGGGTTTCTCTGTGTAGCTTTGTGCCTTTCCTGGAACTCACTTGGTAGCCCAGGCTGGCCTCGAACTCACAGAGATCCGCCTGGCTCTGCCTCCTGAGTGCTGGGATTAAAGGCTTGCGCCACCACTGCCCAGCCTACATTTAGTTTATTGAGACAAGGTGTCTATCATGTAGCCTTGGATGTCCTGAAAAGCACTATGTAGACCAGTCTGGCCTAGAATACACAGAGAACTGCCTGCCTCTGCTTCCCAAGTGTTACATATTTACTTATTTGTAATACAACTGTGAATAGGATTGTTTCTCTAAGTCTGATAATCATTGGTATAGAGGAAGACCACAAATTCTTTTTATGTTAATTTTGTATCCTTTGCTGAAAGTGTTTATCAGTTATAGGAGTTTTCTGGTGCAGTCTTTAGGGTCTCATATATAGAATCATATCATCTGTAAATAAAGGTACTTTGGCTTCATCCTTTCCTATTCATAATACTCTTATTTCCTTTTCATGTATTATTGCTTTAATAAGACTGAAAACTCTGAACTAAACGGGAGTGTAGATAGAGCAAACACCCTTATCTTAATCCTGATTTCAGTGGGAGTGCTGCAAATTTTCTCCATTTATGGTAAGGTTGGCTATATGTTTGCCATAGCCTTCATTATGTTGAGATATGTTCTTTTCATCCATAGCCTCTCTAGGGTTTTTGTCTTGAAGGGATGCTGGATATTATCAAAGATTGTTTCTGTATATTTTTGGTTGTGAGCCTAGCCTTTAAAGGCTGAGCCGTCTCTCCAGCCCTGTTTCTGTATATATTGAGATGATCATACGATGTCTGTCCTTGAGGTCATTTATGTGATGAGGCAACTTGGTAGATGAACTTTTTTATGCAATCTTGAGTTCAGTTTTCAAGTATTTTATTGAGAATTTTTTGTCTATGTTCGTGAGAAAGATTGGTCTGTAGTTTTACTTTTTGTTGTGCCTTTCTCTGTTTGCTCTCATTATAATGCTGGTTTCACAGAAAGAAATTGAAAGCTTTCATTTATTTTCTTATTCTTCCCCTTCCTCCCTCCCTGTTAGCTTTCAGGCATCTGTACTGGCCTGCCCTTAGGGTCCTGACAGGATATACCTCAACTGCAGCCACACACCCCTTGTGTGCATTCACTACATTTCCTTATAAAAGGTGGGCTTTGCCCACCTCCCGTCTCTCTCTCTCTCTTCCCCTTCCTTCATTCTTGTCCCCAGGGACCAGTCTCTACCCCTTCCCTCCCCTCCCCTCAGTAAACCTCTCACGTGGGCCCTGTTGCATGGCAGCTCCTTCCCGTGGTTTTTAAAATACAACATTTTGTGCCATGACTCAGGCTCTCCCGGCAGTCTGAGACATGCTGGGACCCTGGAACCTGGTCTGTCTGAAACAGCCTGCTTTCCCCACCTAATGGGTCACTGAGACTCTCCAACCAACACTGATGGTTGTTCAGTTCTCTCCCCTCCCCACAGCTTCTGGCCATCTCCCATGAATGAGGCTTCGTTTCTCGAGCACAGTCCTTGCCTTCTGGCTTTTCCTGAAGTCCTGGTACCAGGCGACTGTCTCACTTGGGCTCTTAGCCCATTAGCCCCTGCTGTTTTGGATGATGATCCACTAAGCAGCCTGTGCCTCCTCATTGGTCCTTGATGGATTTCTGGGATGCTAGAGATTCCAGCCCTTAGATCTTCTCTACCTGGAAAATGCGCCTACCTCCATATTCAGCACCTGATTTAAGGGCTTAACTCACCCGCCTTTGCAGTCAGACTTGGTCTCATACTCCTTAGACGCCAATCAAAATGGCCGCTAACCAGCACCTGAAAGACCCCCGTTTGGAGTCTTCCCTCTGGAGAGACCCTCGCCCAGAGATCACACCGAGACCACAAGTCAGATGCAAACAGCAAGAGGCTTTATTCCGGAACACGGGTACCCGGGGCGACACAGTCCCTCCAGAGGCTGAAGAGACTGGCGTGCCGACGGGCTGGAGTGGAGGGTTTTTATAGGGTTGGGCAGCGGAAGGGCGGGTACAGAAGCAGGAAGTATAGTTTACAGGGTTCTGATTGGACGATTCGTATGAGGCCAGGTTCAAACTCAGGACAGCTCGTGGTTTTTCCCCCGAGCTCGACATGCCTGCTGACTTGGCTCTTATCCAGGGTACAAGTTGTTTTTCTGACCTTTAGTTCCCTGTTCTGGGGCCAGGTGGCCGACCGCAGACACCCCGCTCGTTCCTGCGCCCATGTCCTCCAACTGAACCCTCCCCGTACTCCTCAGGCCCTGCTCAAAAATGGCGTCAGGCCAAGCAAGCATGCTGGGGCCCCTCAGCACCATCCCAGTAGAGTCCCGGGGTCCCTGCCTGCACCTCCCTGCAGGGCTCCCCAGTCCTCAGGCCGCGCCACCCCCACAGGGTCCCCGAGTCCCCAAGCTGCGCCACCCCGGGGGTACCCGGGTCCCAGTTTGCACCGCCCGGAGGGTCCCCAGCCCTTGGCCTGCTCCATCCCGCAGGGCCCCGGGCGCCCGGGTCGCGGCCCGCACCACCCTCGCCGGCGGCGGCACCGGGCGCTGGCGCCGGGCAGCGGCGCCAATCGGGCTCGAGGACACGGCGGGCCCGGGCTGGGAGCCTGCGGTCTCTGCCCGCCGCGCTACGACGCGGGGCCCGGGCGCGCGGGCGGCTGCGGGGCGCGCATAGCGGGCGCGGGCGGCTGGCGCGGAGACGGAGATGCGGCCCGCCTGCGCTGCCCGCGGCTCCGCTCCTGGCGGCCTTTCACACCCATACCCGGTATTTCACAGGACCCTTGCAACTTCTGCCAGCCATCCCATAGATGGGCGGGGGCTGGTGGCTGGCACTGGTTACCCCGTGGAAAGGTCACGATCACGACAGAACCCAGTGGTACCTTTTAGAGCTTTATTAGGAGGGAAGGGGGTGGGGGAGAGAGGGAGAGAGAGAGAGAGAGAGAGAGAGAGAGAGAGAGAGGGAGGGAGGGAGGGAGGGAGGGAGGGAGGGAGGGAGGGAGGGAGGGAGGGAGGGAGGGAGGGAGAGAGAGCGCTAGGCCGCGTGGGGGTGCACGTCCGGCTTTTAGGCTGGGACGCAGTCTCCCACTGATGACGTAATAAGGCGCCAGACAAGACCCTGAGCTGCCCATATACAGAATCCTTACAGGTACCCTACTTTCAAGCTTTCTCTTATCAAGTCCCTACTCTGACGTAGCCTTTCACCTTTTCTCTTCTTTGTCCCCTACCCCCCCAAACCTGTTGCACTGACTTTGGTGTGTGGCTTGTTTGTTTGGTGGCATACGTTGGCAGGGCCCACCGAGGATACCCACTCATGCTGGGCCCTTCCCGGCTTGCTCCACCCTCAGCAGATTTCTGTCTTCCACCTGCAACAAGTCTGCTTTCTCATTCACCCACAGCTTTGCCTTCCAGTCAATACCAACAATTGGGTCTCTGGTGGGGCCACCCGCCTCTGACCATTCCCCTGGGTGTGAGACTGGGCTCAGTATTCCCTGGACCAGGCAGTCAGGGAACTGAAAAAGAATTCTCCACTTTCTTTCTTTTTCTTTGCTTCAAGACCTGCTTGTGTCTGTCTGCTCTCCCTCTCTAAATGTTCTGTTTGCTGCAGTGTGTGAATCAGAGATGGAGAAGCCAGCTTCATCTTGCTCAGCACACACCAGCTCTCCCTTTCTATTTACTCAGCTCGTGTTTAATTCTGTGTGTATGTGCATGTAACTATTAACAGCAACCACGTGGTTCTCCTCCATCTTGACTGGTGACCTCATCATGATTTCTTGTGAGCTCCAGGGAGTCGACTTGGATCCATCTGAACAGCATCTTGCCAGGTCCAAGTAGTGCCGGACAGTTCCACAGAGCCTGGACAGTGAAGTGAAACAACCAGCTACATCAAGATGTGGCCAACACCCTAGTTTTCTCAGATCTCCCAAAGATGATCAACGCCCCCCAGGTCATCAGGAAGCAGTCTCGAGAACACAGTGCCCTCATCCCCGCCTCACCTGCTACCCTGTTCTAACTCCTCACCTTTTTATAATAAACAAAAGGGAGGAATATTAGCATTTAGGCATCTTTATTGACCTGCCCTTAGGGTCATGACAGGATCTATCCTCAGCTGCAGCCACTAAGAGCACCCCCTGTGCACATTCGCTACATTTCCTTATAAAAGGCGGGCCTTGCCCACCACCTGTCTCTTTCTCTCTCTCCTTCCCTCTCCTCGTCTCTTGGTTATTTGAGACAAGGTTTCTCTGTGTAGCCTTAGCTGTTCTGGAACTTGATCTACAGACCAGGGTGGCCTAGAACTCAGAGACTCACCTGCCTCTGCCTCCCTCATGCTAGGATTAAAGGTGTGCACCATTATGCCTAGCCTACACCTGACTTCTCAAAGGAGACTCTAAAGACATGAGGGCCTGGACAGATGTTCAAACTCTAAGAGAACACAGATGCCAGCCATGGCGACTCTACCTAGCAACATTTTCAGTCACAATAGTTGGAGAAAGGAAAATGTTCCATGATAAAACTAAATTTAAGCAACAAATTGGACAACAAATGATACAGCTAACTCTCCCAGGACTTGACATTTAACCCAACTTTTTCTTTTCAGAATCTTCTAAAGATGCTGTCACCCCTAGATAACAGGAAGTAAATTTAAGAACACTATGTCCACATTCCCAAGAGCTGGGGCAGGTGGTTTTTGGTTCTCGAATGGGTTATGGATATTTGTCATTGTTTAGTGGGGTTGGTTACAAGTTGTTATTGGTAATGGTCAGAAAAAAAGCTGAACAAAGTTTAGATTCAGGGTTCTTGTTTTGAAAAGAAAAAAATGGGATAAAGAAATAGGATAAAAGGATAGATTATTGAATCTACTTTTTTTGCTTTATTTAATTAAGGATTTAAAAAATCCATTTTACATATTGATCACAGATCCCTCTCTCCTCCCTCCTCCCACCCCTCCCACCTCCCCCCCAAACCACCCCTATTCCCTCCTCCAAAAATCCAAGGTCTTCCCCGGGGAGTCTGCAGAGCCTGGTACATTCAGTAGGGGTAGGTCCAAGCCCCTCCCCTTGCATCAATGCTGTGTAAGGTGTCCCACCATAGGTAGTGGGCTCTAAAAAGCCAGCTCATGCACCAGGGATGGATCCTTATCCTACTGCCAAGGGGGCCTCTTAAGCAGATCAAGCTACACAACTATCTAGCTTATGCAGAGGGCCTAGTCCAGTCCCATGCAGGCTCCACAGGTGTTGGTCTAAAGTTCATGAGTTCCCACTAGTTGGGTTTGGTTGTCTCTGTACATTTCCCCATCATGATCTTGATGCTCCTTGCGCATAGAATCTCTCTTCTTTCTCTTCAACTGGACTCCTGGAGTTCTGCTTGGTGCTTGCCTGTGGATCTCTGCATCTGCTTCCATCAGTTACTGGATGAAGGCTCTCTTGGTCCAGTCAGAGCTGGCAGATTCTCTGTCTCAGGAAGCCACTTTGAATCCACTTTTAAAAAGCAACTACTTGTTTTAAATATTTTACATTGATATGGATCTTTGTACATTGATTAAAAGTTGAGATTTTTTTTGAACATACTGCACATACATTTCTAATCTTGTTCAAGGTATTATACCTATACATCTCATTTAACAATGTAATATAAATTTCTAGTCCTTGAAAGTTATTATCACCAACTAATTATGATATAAAGAAATGTAAGTTAGTAGTTAGTCATTATAATTGAACTTGTAGCCAAATTAGGTATGTTTTCAAGGTCAAACAGATGTATTTTAGATAGACAGGTAGTCTTCAAACACTTCAGAGATCTACAGAACATGGCATTTAAGATGTTTTAATAACATAAGGTTCTTTTTTTTGACAATGAGACATGTCTGCTCCTGGCAACATCAATCTATGTCAGAGAAGATGATGGGTATTGAAGAAACTCCATATGGAGTTTACTTTCTTTGTGGCAAAAGTTAGCCACTGGGCAAGAAAATGTCCTTACTTCGACTGCTGACAGTATACTGTCCATATGGGACAAGCAGGACACAAAAGAAAGGACTGCCAAACTTTGCCAAGATAAGGTAAGACAGCCCTTCAGAAAATCCTGCTTTACAGATGAGTCTGTCAGATATGCTAAGACTGTAGGCCAAAGATGGATGCCCCAATGTTGCAGAGAAACCTTGGGTGACTGTCCAGGCAGCCAGCTGTTTCTGTCATTTCTCACATTTTTTGGGAGTTGCTTGTTTGCACTTCCTGCTTACTCAGTTAATATTATTTCCTCAGGTCTAGAGGATGGAGTTGAAGAATTTATAGTTATAGTTTTCCATGATACCAGATTCAGAAAAGAAATTCACTAAAGCGGTGTAAAGTGTATAAGTTTGAAAGACATAAAATATAGTTTTGGTAATGTAAGTTAGAATAGAAAGTGAATTAGGAACAATCTCTTGGACTCACCAAGATAGGATAAATATTGGAGTATTTTCTTTGAATTTGTCAAATATTTACAGACTAGACATTGTTGATGTATTTATTGCCTGTATATATTATGTAGTTATTATACTTATTGTATATAGTTTTTCTTATGTTAGTTATAACCTTTTTAAAATTTTAGACAAAAAAGGGGAATGTGGTGATATTTTGTTTGTGCTCTAACAAATAAATCTTGCCTGGAGATCAGAGTGTACAGCTAGCCACTAGAGGCCAGGCCACACCTTTCTTCCCAGCACTTGGGAGGAGGAAACAAGAAGTGATATGGCTGGGTGGAGAGAGGAAGTGATAAGCTAGGCCCTTTCAGTCTGAGGATTCCTAGAGGTAAGAAGTCTTTCTAGTGGCTGGCTGCTGTACTCCTCTGATCTTTCAGCTTTCACCCTTGATATCTGACTCTGGGTTTTTGTTATTAAGATCAATTAGAATTCATTCTACACATGCATGTAACATGAATTGTTTAACAGTCTTATTAATAAAAAACTCAGAGCCAAATATTGGGTGTAAGCTGAAAGATCAGAGGAAACAAGTCACAGCCACAAGTTCCTATCGATAGGAAATCCTCAGCCCAAGAGAGAGCTACTTTCTGTATACTCATGCCTTACATACCTTTCTGTGTCTTGCCATTTTACTTCCTTTCTCTGCCCAGCTACATCACTTCCTCTTTCTGCCCAGCTCTATCACTTTCTGTCTGTCTGTACAGACCTCCAGACCTCTATGGTTAACTAGCTCTGGGATTAAAGGTGTGTGCCACCACGCCTGGCTCTGTTCCCAGTGTGGCCTTGAACTCACAGAGATCCTGATGGATCTCTGCCTCCAGAATGCTAGGATTAAAGGTGTGTGTTACCACTGCCTGACCTCCATGTTTAATATAGTGGCGGGCTTTTTCCTCTGATCCCTAGGCAAACTTTATTTGTTAGAGCACAAATAAAATATCACCACACATGCACACAGATGTGTACACACTCACATGCACACATGTGCACACACATGCCTGAACACATACACCTGCACACATACTAGCACACACATACACACACACACACACACACACACACACACACACACACACACACGCACGCATGCACGCACACACACACACACATGCACATGTACATACAAAGTAACACAATCTTTAATGATATTTAGGTTTATTGTCTACCTGCAATCATGTCTGTGCATTATGTGCATGTATTGCCTGAGATGGCCAGAGGAGGGTATCAGATCTTTTGGGATTGGAATTACAGATGGTTTTGAACAACTATGTGGGCACTGGGAATTGAACTTAGGTCCTTTGGAAGACTGATCAGTGCTCTTAACCAGTGAGTCATCTCTCCAGACTCATAAAATTAAAAAAAAGATATAATAATTGTATTTGTGTACTAAATATTGGAGCCTATAATTTCATAAAATAAACAGTAAATGGACAAAAGGCCACAAATGTCATGACACAATAATAGTGGGGTCTTTGGTACCCATTCATATTTAGATAGAACTTTCAAACTAAAATTACCAACACAATTTCAAAGCTAAAATATAGCATGGATCAGTTGAACTTTATATATATATATATATATATATATACAGAATACTCCATCCAACAGACTTCCCTTTCTCCAAAATTGATCACATAATAGACTACAAATGAAGCATTAACAAATACAAAACTATCACAGTAATTTCTTGTATCCTATCAGACCACAGTGTAATAAAAGTAGAACACAACAACAAGAAAAACTACAGAAAGACTGAACAATTAATCCATCTTTTTAAATAAATGTGGGTTATTCAAGAAGTCAGAGGAGAAATTAAAAAAGAAAATCACCGAGTCAAATGTATGGATACAATGAGAGCAATATCAGAATCTCTGGGATGCAGTCAAAGCAGTCCTAAGAGGAAAATGTATAGCTGTAAGTGCTCATATTAAAAAAGTCTCAAATAACTCGGGAGGCAGAGCCAGGCGGATCTCTGTGAGTTCGAGGCCAGCCTGGTCTACAGAGTGAGATCCAGGAAAGGCGCAAAGCTACACAGAGAAACCCTGTCTCGAAAAACCAAAAAAAAAAAAGTCTCAAATACCCTAATAATGTGCCACAAAGCTGTAAAAAATAACAGACCCTGTAGAGGTAAGAAATAATACAAATTAGAGAGGAAATTATTAAGAGAGCGACTGAAAACAATATACAAAGTCAACCAAAGAATCAATTCTTTGAAAAACTTAACAAGGTTGACAAGCCCCAGGCAAAATGACATAAAGAAAGAAGACCCAAGTTAATAAAATTGGAGATGAAGAGTGTGTTATGACTCTAGTGAAATCTAAAACATGATTAGAGAAAAACCCCGTCTATCTCATTAGCATGAAAATTTGCATTGATCTATAATCATTGGTAACTTATATGCATACTGCAGAATTAATTCATTATCCTTTCATCATTTGCTCTGTGCTCTTTTCTTATGTGCTGGGGATCAAGCCCAAAGGGTTGCACTGTTAGGCACGTTCTCTACCACAAGTGCTTTAACCCTTCGTTAGACACTTTATAAAAGTCATTGAAGGTATTGTGTTTTATCAGATTCCTTTTCTGCATCAACTGAGATGATTGTGTGAATTTTCTTTCCTTTCTCCTAGTGTGCTATATGACATTGATAAATTTTTGTGTCAAGCCATATTCCTGAAAGAAATCCCATTAATTTTATTAATACTTATTTTATCTTATTTTCAGCTTACTTACTTATTATTAGTGTGTGTATGTGTGTGTGTGCACATGCATGTGTCATGGTGTGCATGTGGAGATCAGAGAGCAACTTGCAACAGTCTTTCTAACATGTGGAACCTGGAGATTAAACTCAGGTCATCAGTCTTGCATTCAGTTTAAAATATTTTGTTGAAGATTTTCATATTTGTGTTTTAAAGGGATATATACATACACATTTGTGGGTTTTTTTTGAGACAGGGTCTCATGTATCCCAGGCTGGCCTTGAACTAGTTATGTAGCTGAGGATGACTTTGAACTATTGATCCTCTTCCCTTTTTCACCATGCTGGGATTATAGGTGTGCACAGTGCTGGGAACTGAACACAGAGTTTCTTGTGTACAAACAAATGATCTACCAATTGAGGTATATACCCAGCCCCGTGTAAGGGAGCAAATAGCTGAACAACATGTCTCCATAGTCCAATAACCTCTCAATAAAGGAATAAGAAATAATTGAATCTGCCTTCTGGGACCAAGCCTTCAAGACAAGAGCCTTTTGTAGGACACAGTGTATACAAAGGATAACATTTTATTTTCTCAATTTTGCTACACGCTCCTGTGGAGAGAACCGTGTATGGAACAAAGCACTGAAGGACAGTGTAGACCAGTCCAGCATCCTGGGAATCCAGTTCTCTGGCCAGAGACAAAGTGTAGCTTCTGTGGCTCACAACACAATGCCCAGACTGGGTAAATTACAAAGAAAAGAGTGTTGATTTGTGCCAGAGGCATAAACAGCAGATGACAACTGATATTCATAAGGTCAACCCATCAGATGAATGACTCTCTGATGCAGGAACCTCATCAAGCAAGGCTTACGAGGCCATAGGCTACTATGAATGCTGTTTGCTTCTGTCTGTGATTTTCTAGTGTGCTGCCATAATTCTTCCTTAAAACAGCTGTGGGATTCTTCCCACAGCCCATTGGTGGTGTGTTTTCCGCATGTTGGGCGTAATTATATCTGTGCGTAATTATATATTAATCAAGATGATTTTACCTTAAGGTATATAATTTTGATGAATAGAAATAATACTAGGATATTTTCATAGCTCAGACTGATATAGAAAAATAACAATATTCTCAGCTGTCATGGCAGCTTTTTACACAATTAGTTGATTTAAGACCTCAGAGCAAATTCAAAGTAGACTAGTTGCCCCTGCAAATGAATGCACAAGGACAGATTCCCAGATGTCTGGTTGCTGAACCAAGGTCAGGCATGAAGCAACTTTAGTGCCAGTTCTTTGCTTGCAAAACTCTGGCTGGTAACATTAAAGACATAATTCCCTGCATAAATTCTCTCAGCAACTGACTCTCTGCAAAAACTCTAATCTCATTTTTATGATACAAGACTC